ACTCAACTGAACTGGAATCCAGATGCAGAGAAGGATGAGTGAAGAGCAAAGGGGTCCAGACCAGGCTGGTGGAACCCACAGAAACAGCTGACCTGTACATCGGGGAACTCTTGTGTTACAATAAATCTTTCCACCAAAAGCCGCCTGAGCCCCACCGCCATGTGTGAACTTTATGCCAGCCGCCCACCTGAGTTAGGCCCAAATGAATATACAGAGACTTGTATTAGGTTCAAAGCTGCTTGGCCAATGACTAGGACTTCTCATCTGCTAGCTCAGTCTTAAATATAATAAATCTATATATTTTATAAGTCTTATCTTATTGGACGCCAGTGACAAGCATCCTGCCTTCCCTGGGCTCACATGGTGACTGCAGAGAGGAGGAGGAAGAGAGAAAGGGAACAACCTTCTTCTTGCCCTTGTTTATATTTGAGTCTCCTTGCTATGTCACTTCCTGCCTAGATCAGCACTTTTCTACTACATTTCCCAGAATCCTCTTTGACTCCTAGTCCCATCTAACTGCTGTCTCATTGGCCAACAGTATTTTATTTAACAATCAAAAAGATAAACACACACAGCACATTCCCCATCACTCTTGCTCCCCAGAATGATAGCTGGTATACCAGCATGGGACTGAACCAGACCCCAAGAACATGGGTTTCAGAGAGGAAACCTTGGAAATCCTCGGGACCTCCTGTAGTAGTTCAGTACTTATCCCTAGCATAGGTGTGGACTTTGGGAGCCCATTCCACATAGAGGAATACTCCCTGAGCCACGACACACTGGGGTGGGCCTAGGCCCTATCCCAAAGGATAAGATAGACTATGATGACATCCTATGGAAGGCCTCATCATCCAGGGGGAGCAGAAAGGATATGTGATAGGGTTTTAGTTGGGGGGGGGGTAGTAGGGAAGGATGGGAGGGAGAATGCAACTGGGATTGTCATGCAAAACAATCTTGTTTCTAATTAAAATTAAAAAAAAAGTCTCTTTCATGAGAGTTGAAAGCCACACTTATCTGTGCAGGTAAGGGTATGTATTTATAATGTAGTTAGTAATTATGCTGGTTTAAGTGGCAGGAGAAAGTTTCTTCTAAAATCCATGACCTCACTAGTTTTTGGAATTAGGTAGGAGCTTCCAGTACCAGGCATAATGTCCTTCCTGTCATCAGGACTTAAGTCCAATTAGGCTGCTCTTGTTGACCACCAAGATATGAGCACGACTATCGCACCATTAGGGATACCTTGTCATGCTGATCACTGTTGTGTCAAAGGTGTCACAGCTGAGTAGGGCTATTAGCTGGTCTTTTTTTTTTTTTTTAAACTGGAAAAAGAGTTCACCATATAGTAATTCTCAATATATGTAAAAGGATTTCAGTTCCATGAAGTATGCTCTCCAATCACAATAAAATTAAATTAAAAAATAGAAACAAAAACATAGATGGACTGGGACTGGACAGATGGCTCATGCTGTACACACTGCCCTTTCAGTGGACGTGAGCTCATTCCCCAGCATCCGTGTCAGGAGGCTCACAGCTGCTTGTCACTCTAGCTCCTGGGGACCTGACATCCCCTTTAATTGATTTACATGATTAAATAATAAGAATAACTTAAAACCCATCTGGAAAATCCTCAAACATGTAGAAATTAAATAATTCAGTCCAAGGTAATTCATAAAATTAAAGAAAAATACTTGGAACTATATGAAAAAGCTATAAAAATCTTGGAATGTAGTCAAAGTTTTTCTTAAACAATAGCTTAAAAACCGTGATCTGAAAACCAATTACCTAAAATTTGACTTTAAGAAACTAAAGAGAAGAGCTAAGGATGTAGTTCCATGGGTATAGTAGTTGCCTAGCATGTACAAAGTCGTGAGTTCAATTCCCAGAACCATGTAAGTCAGGTATGGTGGCCCACACCTGTAATCCCAGAACTGGGGAGGTGGAAGCAGGAAATTCATAAGTTCAAGCTCATTCTTGGCTGTATAGCAACTTTGAGGGCAGTATGGGATATATGTGACCCTGCCTCAAGCAAACAAAAAGAAAGAAAAGAAAGAAAAATAAATTCAGGGAAGAAAAATAACTGAATAGTTCTCTATATATAACTGGAAGGAAAAAATGGTAAAGGTAAGAATTAAAATTAACAAAAGAGAAAATTTTCAAGAAAAGCCAGACATGATCTTGTTTCTCTAATCCCAGCATGAGGGAGTCTGAAGGAAGAGAATCACTAAGAGTTTGATGCCAGCCTGGAGCTACATAGGGAGTTTCAGGATGGCCTGAGCTATAGTGTAAGGCTACTAAAAGAAAGGAAGAAATGAGAAAGAAGAGAAAATATTTAAGCAATAGGAAAAATTACCAACAAGACTAAGGGCTAACCTTTCTAATAGAGTTTTTTGTTTGCTTTTAAAATAAATTTGTACCAATAACATTTACAAAGAGTAAAAATATAGGGCCAGGCGGTGGTAGCACATGCCTTTAATCCCAGCACTTGGGAGGCAGAGGCAGGTGGATCTCTGTGAGTTTGAGGCCAGCCTGGTCTGCAAATTGAGTTCCAGGACAGCCAGAGCTAAACAGTGAAACTTTGTCTCGAAAAACCAAATAAATAAATAAATAAAAATACGAAACATCAATCAGCATCATGGCAAATATAGGTAGTATTCTTGAACAAAATTTTAGCAAAAATAAAAAAAATCCATCAGTATATAAAAAAGTACAATTTATAGCCAGGCAGTTGTGGCACATGCCTTTTATCCCAGTACTCAAGAGGCAGAGGCAGCTGAATCTCTTTGAGTTTAAGGCTAGCCTGGTCTACAGAGTGCATTCCAGGACAGCCAAGGTTACACAGAGAACCTCTGTCTCAAATCTCCCCCTCAAAAACACAATTTACATCAACCAGGTAGGCTTCAGTGAAAGTGATAGTGAAACCCAAGGAATATTAAACAGTTAATATTGTCAATTAGCTGAGAAGGAGAAAACTTATATAATAATGTTAATTGATACAGAAAAGTATCAAAACTCAGAAGTCACTCATGGTAAAACACAAGAAGAACTATTAGCAAAGACAGCTTCTTACACTTAACAACAGGCATTCATGAAACCTAAAACACTGTATTTAACAACAAAAGAACACTGATGATCTGTGGTCATTTGAATAAGAACAACCCCCATAGGCTCATACGTTTGGAGGTTTGGTCCCCAGTTTGGTGGAGTTGTTTGGGAAGGATTAGGAGGTGTGATCTTGTTGGAGAAGGTGTGTCAGTGGTATGGTGTTTGAGGTTTTAAAAGCCTGTACCAGGCTATCTCTCTCTCTCTCTCTCTCTCTCTCTCTCTCTCTCTCTCTCTCTCTCTCTCCAATAGGTCAATTAGGGCAACCTGGATCCATCCTTCCATCCTCCTGTTTTTGGTGGTTTTTGGATAGATGTATGCTTTCAGCTACTGCTCCAGCACTATGCCTGCCTGACACCAAGCTTCCTACCATGAGGGCTATGCACTCACCCTCAGAACTGTAAGCAAGCCCTCAATTAAATGCTCTCATTATAAGTCCCTTGGCGATGGTGTCTC